ACGAGAAGTCGACCGCGCCCCGCTCCGTCCGGCCCCGCCCGCGCGCATCTAGTGGACGGCCTCCAGACCTCCGCATAGGGGACGGGACGACACACCATGGCTTGGCTTGGAGCGTGCGTGTTGGCTGGCCTCCGCTTATTGCTGTCGCCGGCGGCGGCAAACGGCGGCCTTCCCCTCTCGTCGTCTGGGGAGTGAATTGTGTGTGTTTTCGGTGGGGATTATATCTAAACCTGAATGTTTGTTTGACACCGCAGATATCGACTCTGTTAACTCGGTTATTTTCTCGTTCTATATATATATAAAAACTCGGTTGTTTTCTCAGTTTTTTTTTGAAATAACCACATATATTCCATTGGACAAACGTATGACAAAGGGTACATATATGATCATCACAAGAGACATACATAGATTTCTTGTAATATTGCACCAAAGACTTCGCAAGAAGTAAAACTAAAATTTCACTTCGGCAGAATCTTATGCCACGCCAAAACATTACCCACCATCGTCCTCCTTCGCTGCCGAGGCAACGTTGAAAACGGAGGGGAATTGTTGTCATACCAATATCTAGAGGCTTTTCGAGCCGATGAACCGGACAATTGCAAGCGACAAGACCGAGACTTTGTGGCATGTCAGGCGGGGTTCTTCCCCGTGTCCACTAGATCCCAGCGCCGTCAACTTCATCCGACACGATCGAAGAAGAGGAACGCCGCTGCATGCCGCCATTCACACACCCCACCGCAAGGCACCAAACACAACTGCAACAACCGACACCAACGTCACCCGGGAGAGTGTTGTGCGTCGACCATCAGACAAAGATCTTGGTCAGCTGTGAGTCGCTGCCACCCGGCCTTCTTGCCCTGAAACGGCCTTTTCTTTGTGCCGCCGCCTTGGCGCTGATTGTTGAACCCGGCATTGACCTCACCATCCTCAACTTCGCTACTGTTGTTTCGACGTGTGTTCTTCGGTTGCGGTGCAACTTTCCATTTTCACCCCGCACCTCGGACGCAGGTCATCGCCGTTAGCCACTAGGATTGCGTGTAATCGCATGTCCAAATTGCCGGATTTATAGTTTCGTCATATTTCTCACACTTCATGAATTTGAAGCCCGTCGATAACAAATGCACAATAACCCTATGTGTGAAAGCAAGGAGGGCACATCACGGATGGGCCACCTAGATTGCGGATAGCGTCAATGGTACGGCGTACATCTTTAATGTCGACGTCCACATTGTATTTGGAGAAAGCCGAGATTGGCTCTTGGAACTTTCTGTCTATCTCTTTGCGTTGAAATCTGGAAAGTTTCACCGTTTTATCGACCCACAAAGATCTGTAATTTCGATCGAGCCGATCTTTAACAAGATTTTTTTTCCTGTAAAATTAGCTTTGTTGCGGCAAAAGAAGGGCCCCAACTGATCTCTACGGCCTCTACGCGGGTGACCCATGCGGCCAGGGGTGGTTGTGTCGGGAGGCCGCTTGGAGCCTCTGGAGCTCCTCTCTAGGTGGGTCCAGGTCCCCTAGGTCTCTTAATTTTCAGAAAAAATCATCATAAATACCCGTACATTTTTTAGCTCTGGAAATATGATTTTCTGGAAAACAAAAAATATGCAGAAAATAACAATTGGCTCTCGACACTAATTAATATGTTAGTCTAGTAAAAATAATATAAAAGTACATCAAAGCCATATATAGTTGATGTGAATATAAAATGAATACTTTATAAATTATAGAGATGTTTGAGACATATCAGTATCCTCAAGCTTAACTCTTACTCGTCCTCGAGTAAGTAGATAAAAATAATAATTTATGAAATGTGAATAATAGAATAATACAAAGCTTTAATCATATAGGCAATGATAATTCTAATAATAAATAGCATCGTAGTATTAAGTTTCACAAACATAAAGTGATAATGAAGTATCTGGCAAATTTTTCAAGACTACGTTGCAAAAATAAAGCAATCAATGAAGTAAAGATAATGACTAGATACCCCAATTTAAAGATAGCCGTCGTACTTACGGAATGCTCATCCAAACATATACTACTAGAACCTTGCGCTTCCTAGAAAAAAGGTTCACACCCTATAAATGCATAGTTAATCACTTAATTTTCACCATATAATCATCCTTTACTTCATGTTCCAATTGCAAAGATATATGGCAGGGGCAAACGATTACAATTTTTTTTCTCTACATTAACAAATTAACTTTACAATAAATAATTTGTGTTTTTCTACAACAAAGGCACAACGAGTTCCACAAGATCGTTCATTACAGCCTCTAATGTAACGATGCATCATCACAGATAAGAACGAAATAAAGCCTACGGCACAGCCACCATTCTTCTCACAACAACTGCATCAAACCGCCATGTTCGTCTGGAAGCTAGAAAGATCAACTGGTGTTGGCATCCTTTCCAGTGTCTGCATCCTTCGCGCTGTTGTCAGACAGCAATGTGTTGGGGCATTGTCAATGATACATACTACACTTTACCGTAAAATAATTTGTGTTACATGCTGAGTGGAATGCAAACAAACTGCACATACATACTAAACTATACTTGATGAAAAGCTAGCCATTCTCTCCACTAACTCTAGCATATGACAGAGTCAATCCTGGCAACTTCTGAATGCTTTATTTGTTTTATTTTTAAATCTGTTCCACCTTCCAACTTTTATTTGACCGCAATTAAATACGATGCTCGGAAACTGCAATTATCCAGGCCACCGACATCTTGACAATGAGATACACTACTAGTACATTTCATTAACCTTACACTATGAATGAACACCACCAACATCAGTAACACGACAAAGCAGGGGCGAGATCCTCTGTTTCTGTCTGATACTCTGTTTTTTGAGTGCCGTCCTAGCTGGGGAATCTCGGCCATTTTGCTTTCTGGTTTCTATGTCCGTTACGCCGGTACCTGCTTTCTCAAATTTGAAGGCCTGGGCATCAACATTATGTTTCTTTACCTTGTGTTTCTTCTTTCTTGACGACGGAATCAGAGATGGACATTATTCTGCAAGTCAATGGTACATAGCAGGGTCAGATGATGAAACCATTTTTTCTCTTCATCGACAAGCTAACTTTACAGTAAATAATTTGTGTTACGTGGAGAGTGGAGTGGTAAGGAAACAAATTGCATAAATACGACTAAAGTCACTAAACTGTACTCCCTCTGCAAACTAATATAAGAGCGTTTAGATCACTAAAGTAGTGATCTAAACACTCTTATATTAGTTTACGGAGGGAGTACCTAATAAAGAACAGTTAGAACTCTAGCATGACAGGGAGAAAATTAACACAAACTGTCTCTTTTCATCCTCTTTCTTCCATGTGGATATGGTCAATCCTTGCAAGTGCTGAATGCTTTCTTTCTTTTCTTCTCTGTTCCAACTTTTGATTTGACCGCAACTAATACAATGCTGAAAAGTTGCAATTGTTCAGGCCACTGTTCCTGTATGAGATGTAGACCCAACATGCAATTTGCTCTCTAATGTCAACAAGAATTAAATTGACAATGAGATACATTTCAGTTTACTTTTGACAGTGCTACCTTTGCTTTGATCCTTCTTTTCGGACACATTCGGCATAGCGCTAGGACCTTGTTCCAAGATGTTTTCCTGGGCAGCAACATTATTAGTCTTTGCCTTACTTTTTTTTTCTATGGCCCTACAGGTGGAGGCAAATGATTAAATATTTTTTTATCTTCGTTAACAAACTAACTTTACAGTAAGTATTCTGCGTTACATAGAAAACTGAAAACAAACCACATATACTGTACGTGACTAGACTGTATCAAATGAACAGCTAGCCATTGACTCCAGCAGCTAGGACGAAAATGGGGTCAATCCTGCTGAACGCTCTCTTTTCCTTCCCTGTTCCACAATCAGTTTGACCGCAGTTAATGCAATGCTGAAAAATCACAATATCCTTGTCATATCAGATGTTGACTGAACATGCAATCTGCTCCTATAATATCAATAACAATTAAATTCAGCAACGAGATACATTTCACCTGACACTATAAACACCACTAACACCAATTGTACAACAAAACAGGACTAGCACTACCTAAGAAGAACATGAGCTGGTTCTTTCTGAGATCTCAATCCACCATGCTTGCACTTGCAGTCTTCCTGCTCCTGCTCACACAAACCACAGCAGGTTGGTCCAAACCTGATTCATGGAAGACGCATGGAGGAGGATGCATCGCAAGGGAGAGGGAGGCCCTTCTGTCCATCAAAGCCGGCATCACAGCCGACCCGGAGCGCCTCCTCTCGTCGTGGCGAGGGCAGGACTGCTGCCAGTGGGAGGGCATCAGGTGCAGCAACATGACCGGCCATGTCATTGAGCTTGACCTTCATGCGCGGTACATCCGGTCTTCCCTGAAAGGTGAGATCAGTTCTTCTCTCAAAACCCTGCAGCATCTGCAACACCTCGACCTTGGTGGGAACTACGATCTCACCGGGCCTCAAGGCCGCCTCCCAGACTTCGTAGGGTCTCTTAGTGACCTGCGATACCTCAACCTTTCGGGCCTGATTTTTTCTGGCACGGTGCCCCATCAGCTTGGCAACCTCTCGAGGTTGCGATACCTTGATCTGAGATCTTATGGTCTGTACTCAGAAGATCTCCGGTGGCTGTCACAGCTCTCTTTGCTCAAGCATCTTGACATGAGTTTTGCGAACCTCAGCGCCGTGATAGGCTGGGTTGACACAGTGAACATGCTGTCCTCTCTTGAGGTCCTCAGGCTATCAACATGTTCGCTTATTACGACAAACCACTATATGCCTCGCTCGAATCTCACCAGGCTCAAGATCCTCGACCTCTATCGGAACTCCATTGAAATGCAGTTTGACGCTATTAGCTGGGGTTTGGGACGCAAGCAGCCTGAAATATCTCAACCTTGAGTTCAACGGTATATATGGTGTGTTTCCTGCACAATTGGGAAACTTGACCTCACTTGAAGTCCTTAAGCTGAGGGAGAACCATATAAAGGGAATGATACCAGACACACTGACCAGCCTTTGCAGCCTGAGAATATTTGAATTGGCATATAATGATGTTCAAGGGGACGTGACGGAGTTCATCGAGAGGTTACCGAAATGTTCATGGAGTCGGTTGCAGGAGCTGCATCTGGGCCACAATAACATAACTGGCTCACTATCAGATTGGATCAGCCACATGACTAGCTTGAGCACTCTTGATCTCAGTTTCAACAAGCTTATAGGACCTCTGACCACTGCGATAGGCATGCTTTCTAACCTGATTTACCTGAACATAGGGTACAATCAGATGGATGGTCTCATCACTCAAGAGCACTTCTCCAAGCTTACAGAGTTGCAGGAGCTGCACTTATCTGGAAATTCCTTTACCATGAAGCTGAACTCTGACTGGATCCCTCCAAGGAGATTGCTCACACTAGGATTAAGATCATGCTATCTTGGGCCGAGATTTCCTCAGTGGCTCAAATCACCAAAGAATATCTCCTACCTTTATATGTCCAATGCCAGCATAGCTGATACCATGCCTGATTGGTTTTGGACTGTGTTTAGAAAGGCTGACGTTTTGGACCTCTCAAACAATAACATCAGTGGCACATTACCAGCTACTCTTGGACAGATGGACACCAGTTTCTTAGATCTAAGCTCGAATCAGTTCATTGGTCCGGTAGAACAGCTGCCTCAGAATATAACGACTTTAGATCTCTCAAGAAACTCCCTGTCAGGGGCTCTGCCATTAAATGTCAGATGGCCATTACTCATAGACAGATTGCTTCTATTTGACAACCATTTCACGGGCACTATCCCGGCATCGTTATGCCAAATGAAGTTACTAACACTGCTTGACATTAGAAACAATATGATAACAGGTCAGTTCCCTCGATGTTCAGAAAATGTGGCGTCAAGTTCAGGAACGGTGCCATCAAACATAGCTTCTGTGGATAGTGATTCAAGCTCTGAGATATCATCGTCGATGTCAATTCAAACTCTGAGGCTCAACAACAATAGCCTCTCGGATGAATTCCCTTTGATATTACAGAATTGCCCAGAACTAACTTTTATTGATCTTGGGCAAAATAGGTTTTTTGGAAGTATACCACCTTGGATTGGAGAGAAATTACCACAGCTGAAATTTCTGAGCCTCAGGTCCAACATGTTTTCTGGCTATATACCCACCCAGCTTAGAGGACTTCGATATCTCCAATATTTGGACCTAGCACACAACAACTTCTCAGGTACTATACCTCGATCCCTATTAAACATGGATGGCGTGACCAAGACTACAGAATTAGCAGCTCGGGATTACCCATCCAGCACTTCCAGCGACATGGCTACAGTAGATGATGGCATTACTGTAGTAGATGACCCCCAACATCCTGGTGGTGGGTATGAGTATGCTATGATCGCTAGCATATTTGTAGTCACAAAAGGGCAAGGGCGCGAATATATTGGTCGGTTCATAGACATAGTGAGTCTTGATTTATCCTGCAATCATTTAACTGGAAATATCCCCGAAAGCATAGGTCCTGCAGCAGGTTTAGTGAATATGAATCTGTCTTTGAACCACTTGACCGGAAAAATCCCAGAGAACATTGGCTCCATGCACTCACTGGAATCACTTGACCTCTCCAGCAACCAGCTCTCTGGCGAAATCCCTCCGGGCTTATCCGATCTAACATCATTAAGCTATCTGAACTTGTCCTACAACGAATTATCAGGAAGGATACCGTCGGGGCACCAGCTTGACAACACTCAACCCTTCCGACCCCGCATCCATGTACATTGGCAACGCAGGCCTCTGCAAACCTCCTCTTCAGAAGAGCTGTCCGGGAAACCATACAGCAGAAAGCCACTTCACAGCGAGCAAAGAGGGATCCGAAGCGATGCCCTTCTGTTTCGGGTTAAGCGTGGGCTTTGTGGTTGGCCTCTGGGTGGTGTTCTGCTCCCTTCTCTTCAAGAAAACATGGAAGGCCTCCTATTTCCGTCTCTTTGATAAGGTTTGTGATAAAATTTATGTGCTTGTGGTTGTGAATTGGGCGAGGATGACGAGGAAGCCAACCACCAAAGATTGAGCAGGTTCAACCGCAACCACAGTGGTATGAGTATCCAGTCCACTACAATAAACAAGTGATGAGGTTCTGATATCTCTATAGATGGATGGAAGGAGCTACTATTTACTTGTTCATGTATCCGTAGTCTTATTTGGTTTATCAGACTTTTTAAACTCATAGTGCTGAGCATTTGTATTCTTTGGAACATGCCAAATTGTAGTAATATATTTGCCCACCTGCAACTGTATTGGCGGTCAAGGTTAACTGTAATTTGTAGTTTATTTGACTCATATGCAACTGTATTTGCATCATGTGGTCCGTGAGTGGTGCAGTGATAAAAAGGGACCTGTTAATACCATGAGCAGAAGCGAGGTGAAGGCCGGGCTCAGGTGCGCGAGCGATTCGACGGAATCCGGTGGCGGCGACGGCGAGGGAGGCGGACCAGGGGGAGTCAGACGAGTCACCGGCCGCTCCCCGCTCGCGTGCATCACGTGGCCGTCCAGCCTCCAGAGGCCCGCATTGGGGACGGGGTGGCTTGGAGCAGGGGTGGGGCCAGGAATTGACCACTGTGAATGCAAAATTTGAATCCCTTTTTTTTGGAAGCCTAGTCTTCCTTTTGGCACTTATAACTAATTATAGCAGCATATTATCATTGTATTATTGTAACTGTATGAAAGATATCGTCTAATATATTATATTCGTAAAAAATGATCATAACTTGGTATTGTTCAGCATAGGATTAAAAATTATGGAGTACTATTCTTTATAGATAATGCTCACGTAAAAAATTCAAAATTTATAAACATTCTTACATTGTAAATTTAAATGGAAAATTTTAAATTCTCATGTCTAAACAATTTACAGGAATTGACCACTGTGCATTCAAACTGAATCAATGTCTGCTGCCCGCTGCCGACTGCAGGGATCAGAACCAAAGTGAGCGGGGATGGATTAGTCCCGCCATCCGCTGTCCGCGCCGCCTTGCGCACGTCCGATCGCCGAGCAGGCGATGGGAACAGGCTTCGCCGTGGCCGCCTGGCGGCTCGCAGCTCGCGTGGGAACAGAACAGGGGCGTGCGTGCGTGAGGTGCTGGTGGCCGGTTGATCGATGGATATTACTACTATTTTTTAGGCGATGATGGACTGATGGATGGTCTGATCTGTGCGTGCGTGCGTGCGCTACAGCCATTTGGCCCGATGGGCCAACTCGTGAAGTGGACGGAAGGCCTCTGTTTTGGGCTGGAATACTTACCTAGTGTACAGTTTCGTTTTTCCTTATACATACACATTATATATACCATATATACCTAGTTTTTTTTTGGTAAAAATAATGGGTATTCATCTGAATACCCTTGAATTGGGGTAGGCCCGCCCCTGGCTTGGAGGGCGCGAGCTCACTGGCCTCCGCCGCGCCGGAGCCGGATGGCCGCCTTCCCTTCTGGGTCATGTGAGTCGCCGTGCCTAAGCCATCTGTGGGCCTTCTCGGTCCTGTGTGTGTGCGTGCGTGGGCCCACGCAGGCCGAAGGAACATAGCTTAGAGCATCTCCACTCGCGCCCACTCCCCAGCACGCGTTTTCTCCGCCAGCGCCGAGCGCACTGGGGAACACTTGGGGGCTCCGACGGAAGGAAAACTGAGGCGTGGGTCATTACTATCAGGCGAAAAATGACTTTTTCGCGCCCAGATTCATCCCCGCACATTGTAGGACGCCACTTCCCCATTCGCCTACGTGCCGATCCCGGCGTCGCCCACCTGCCCACACCCGCTGGCCCGCCGCTAGAAAGGCCATTTCCCCGCCGAAAAGAGAGGACGCGAGCATTTTTATGAATTTGTCAACAAATTTTGTAAATAAGATTATTTTTTGTAATACCACAATTTGTTTTGAAATTTCTGAATATTTTGCAATCACAAAATGTTTTATGAATTTCTGACCAAAATTTAAAAACATGAACATGTTTTGTAATTTAAAACAATTTACGAAAGGTGGTTATTTTTGGAAATTAAAAAGCATTTTTTAAGAAAAGAACATTTTTTCTATTTGTGAGCAATTTGAAAATGGGGACATCTTTGAAATTCTGAACAATTTTTTAAAATGTGTGGAAAAACGAAAACATTTTTAAATTTGTGAATACATTTTTGAAACAGAAATACTTTTTAACCCAAATAAAAAAAGATAAGAAACAAAAAAATAAAAAACATAAAACCCCAAAAAGAAATGACCAGAAGAAAGAAAACATGAAATCATTAATTAAGGGTCACTCTTAATATTTTATCTCATAAACTGTATGTCCAAATCTTGAACCATTTTCACCATTGGATCTCTCGCGTCGAGATCTTCAAAACTAGATCTCATGTTGATGGCTTTTGTTGAAAAAAATTCACAACAAAATCGAACAAGAAAACCACACCGGGAGCACTTTTATTCTATCTGAAAGCCATTTCGAGAGGCACGGCTGAACCTCTCATGGTAGAAAAACCGTGCCTCTCACGGAAGGGAAAAAAGAAAACATTTTTTTTGTTTTCGACAGGCACGGTCGTGCCTCTTGTAGAAGAAAAAAAATATTTTTCTCTTTTTCCGAGAGGCATGGCCGTGCCTCTCACGGAAGAAAAAAAATAGAAAACACGTATTTTTTTTCTTTTCCGAGAGGCCCCGTTGTGCCTCTTGCAGAAGCAAATCCGTGTCTCTCATGAAAGCGAAATCGTGCCTCTCATGAACGCAAAAAACAAGGAAACGTATTTTTTTTCGTGTTTCTGAGAGGCACGGCCGTGCTTCTCACGAAAGCAAATTCATGTCTCTCGTGGAAGCAAAACCATGCCTCTCGTGAACGCAAAAAACAAGGAAGCGCATTTTTTCCTGTTTCTAGAAGGCACGGTTGTGCCTCTCGCGGAAGCAAAAAAACACAGTTTTTACCGCAAATATTTTTGTTCAATTTTTTTCCTAAAGCTAAGAAAGAGTGGTGGAAAACCGAAAAGCCCAAAATCCATTTAAAAGGACAAAAACGTGTGAGAAAAAAAATAGAGGGTGTGTCCAGAGCTCGACACCTGGTGGCGACCGGTGCCAAGTGCCAAGTGACCCTTGTAGAGGCTCATGAAGGAGCACTCCTTAATTAGTTGCTGTAAAAAAACGGCACAGAAACCTTGAAGACATTATAAATGGGCCGGCCCATCTATTTGTTTGCTCCCTCAAGTTTTTTCGTTTTCAGTTTTTTCTTTCATTTTCTGTTTTTATATTTTGCTTTTTCTGGTTCTTCTTTTCTTTTTTAATTTTAAAAATAATCAAATTTTCAAAAATTGGAAAAATGTTCATATTTTCAAAAACATTCCCGTTCTTTATAAACTGGTCGAGCACTTTAAAAATTGTTCGCATTTACAAACAATGTTAGGAATTGAAAAATTGTTTGTTTTTGTGAAAAAGCTAAAGTACCCTAGTAGAAAACAATATATCTTCACTACAATAAGCCAAGTACATTTGAAAGCCCGGTGAGGTCGCCCTATACGTCTGGACACCTATTTTACATGATGTATTTTTATGAATATTTTTATATTTATTGAAAGCATATACAAATCATGAACACTCTTTGAATTCTTGAATAGTTTCTAAATTTTTGAACTTTTCAAACACTTTTTGAAATAATCAATGTAATTTCAACTTCCTATTTTTTGAATTTTAGAATATTTTTCAAATTCCTAGATATTTTTAAAAAAATATATGAAAATTTTCAAATGCATATGATTTTTTTTCTTTGTATGAATTGATGAATGAACTCTTTGAGTTTCTCATAGTTGTAAAAAAACAGGTGTCAATTGCATGTTAATCACTAGGCATGTAGTTGTAACCCATCTTCAACTTCAAAGGGGTCCAATGTTAGGGCAATTAAAAAGGGTTGTCAGTCAGTTGCATGTCCATCACTTGACATGCAACTCCATGCACCGTAAGCTACCTACCACTGCATGCGACACACACACACCATGTAATTGCAAGGGGTACAACACGACTCCAACTAGGAAGAGATGTGGGGCACATGCCGTGTGGTGCCACTGGAAGGGCCCGAGGAGGGTTACATTGCATTTTTCTTTTCTTTTTGTGTCCTGTGGTTGCCCCCCTACACAAGAACAACATATTAAGACTATCCATTCTAGGGGAAAATATTTTTTCCTCAAGAGATTTTGAAAAATCATGGCCAGTTGCATGTTCACCATTAGACATGCAACTCCATGCATCTTTGCACGCCCGCAACTACACATGGCACACATACCACGCAACTGCAAGGGCACCCAATGATTACAATGGGAAGGATGTTGGCAGTTGCGCCTGCATGACACGTGTTATATTCTGTTTACAATTGCACACATAATAAATACCACGCAACTGCAATGTGTCCAACGTGACTGCAATTGGGAATCAAAGGGAATGTTGATCAATTACATGTTAACCACTTGACATGCAACTACACATGTCGCAACCCGCATGCAGCTGCACACACACACACACACACACACATGCAACTACAATTCCATTTGTTGCCCCACCACACGAGACCAACATGTTAGGATGACTCATTTCTGTCAAAAATGCCTTTATTTTCCTTGGCAATTTTACAAAACAAACCCTGGTCAGTTGCATGTCCACCATTCGACATGCAACAACATGGAGAGTAACTCATACCATCCAATTGTAAGGGGTAAAACGTGACTATAACTGAGGTGGGGATGTGAAGGCATGTGTTGTATGGTGCTAGTGGTGCTAGGGGGAGGGCGAGCGGTTGAGTTGCATTCTGTTTTCTTGGTCCACCGTATGAGAACAACATAGTAAGAGGAAGACGAGGCCTGCTTTTTCTATTTAAAATTTTAATTCACGGATACTTTTAGAGCTGATCAAACATTAACTGAAATATGGGAAAATTTTAAAAAATAATCTTGAATTTTTTTGATTGATGAGAACTTT